TTTTTTCTTTTATTTCTGTTGTGACAAGTGTCAAACTGCTGTGTACCCTCTTTCTAGGCCCTAAGGCCTCATTCAAGGCCAGGTTCATGGCTGTTACTTTGCCGTTACATCTCGGATTCCAACAATGGCACCCCCATGTTCCTAGAGGGTTCCATTTTGCTCCCGTTTGCCCAATTTTGAGCCCCTTTTGCTTCGATTTTCTAAGGGTAGCCTTTTTTTCATGACGAGCCTCTTGAGGCTATATTTTCTCATGCCTAGCTAGTCCGAGATATCTCGGACTGCTGGGCAGCCCTCCCGACGCTATTATTTTGCTTTATTTTCTCTCCATGGCTCTCCCACTTGCCCCCACTAGTGCTTGCACTAGTGGTGCTAATATTTTCCACCGTCTAGATCCGTGATCTCGACGGTGCCGTTTGTTTGCACAATTATTACTTGTGCTTGCTCATGGTCCCCTTGGGACATCCCAAGTCCCCGCCACTCTCCTCCATACTAGTTTCATTTCTTTGTCCCGCCGGCGGTCCCTCCAGCGCATGTCCCGTTTTTCGATTTTTATTATTTGGACCCCCTTGGCCCCCGGCAACATTCCGGATGGTGTCCCATTTTTATTTTTTGGGCCCCTTGCTCTTGGTGGTCCCATCATTTTCTTCATGTGTGCCGATTTTTCTCGGCCGTGAGATCTCATCTCACGGTTGCCGTTTACCGTTTATGCTTGGCCCATGCCGAAATCGCTCCTTTCTAGCTTTTCGGGTTTGCCGTAGCCCATTTTCCCTTAGCCTTGGCATCCCCATGCAGTCCGTAATTTCTCGGACTGCAGTCATGGCAATTTTTCTGCACCCACAGCCCCACAACTTGCCCCATGCTAAAAGAAAATAAAGCGTTAAATTTCTAAGTGCATCTGGACTCTATATTGGCTCCGGATGCACCCAAAACATGTGTTTTCCCTCCCCCATGCAGTCCGTTACAACTCGGACCGCCATAGGGGTCAATTTCCCAGCCCCAATGCCCTACAACTAGACCCTACTTGAAAGAAAAAGAAATGACCAATTCCCAAGTGCATCCGGACTTGATTTTGGCTCCGGATGCACCTAAAACATGTGTTTCTCCTCATGCATGTAATCCGTTTTATTCCGGTTGCAAGGGGCTTTGATTTTCTTTGATTTTCTCTGAAAAAATAAAAGAAATCGAAGTCCTTTGTAACCG